CAAAAAAAAAAAAAAAAAAGGTGCTAGGGAAACTGGCCATCCACATGCAGAAGAATAAACCAGACACCTACCTTTCACCATGAATGGTACCCAGTTATTGTGCTGTTTCCAATAAAAAAGCAATTCTTCAAAGAACAAATGGCACTTAAAAATGATTACAAGGAGTATTCAAAGAGAACAGATGGCACCTGTACAAGTGACAGCTCTTGTGAGCCCATCAAAAGCCCAGACATTTCTGTTACATAGAAATGCATGCAGGTGTACGTTGAGAAATGACAGCAATTCAGTGGTTTCTGAGAGAAACATGGGCCAGTGAGAGGCCTTCTGATTTAGAAGGACAAAGTTCCAAAGCAAGGCAAGGAGGTGCCCTGTCCTGCCAATAACGTCAGGGCACAAACTGAACAACGGAGACAGTGACAGGACTCTGGCTCTGCCTGAGGGACGCTTAATGAGCACTGGTGTGTGGATTGCTGGCTTGCAATAGAGTCTGTCAGAATGATTCAGGACTCGGGCGTTTTTTCTAAGAACAAAACAATGGAATAAATAAATAAAAATAAAAATTTAAATGTGTGTATTCTAAACAGACATGAATACACTCTGTGCCTTTCCTGTAGCTTAGCTTGGAGTCACATGTGCTGTCCGTGACTCCAGACGGACCCTCACCTTGATGTGCGATGCGTTGACATAGCCTGTGTTGTTCTCCTTGGTTGGGACCAGCTCCACTCTGGCATCATCATAAGGAAGGACATCTTGGAACCGATTTCTCTCTGCATTTTCAGGGAGTCGTGCTGTCGCGCACTCTCCGTCAACGAGCCGTTTTTTAAGAATTTTTTCATATTCTGTGAACACCATTCCCTGTTCTAACCGCTGTTCCAGAATTTTACACTGTAAACAGAACATGTGGAATAATATGATTATAGTCACATGTCCCTGCCGCATTTTGATTGTATATCTAAAACCTTGTTTTCTGCTTCAAGTCTAGCACTGTCTAATAGTGAAAATTCTAGGTGAAACCAAAGTTAAAATTGTAACAGGCCACAGCAATAAGAGTCAAAAGAACAAAAGACATAATGAAAGATAAATGCAAATCTCTGTCTAAAGTTGAAAACTGGACTAAAGAAATTTATTGAATTCACATTCTCTAAATCTGTCATCCATTTTGTGATCTCAAACAGAATTCTCCTGGAGAATGATAAATACAGGGAAAGGATAATCAGTCCATACATCTATGAACAAATGCTTCAGTTTTGTAATATATCATATGTCATAGACTAAAAGCACTCAGGAATTACCAGAAACAATGTCAAGGACCCAGCTGTAAAGCAAATTCCTGCCTAGCTGATTCTGATACCAAAAAAACCTCACAGAAAATACATCTCAGTCACAAAGGAAGTTCTGAAAAACTTAGTAACTATTTACTCACGATCAATTTTTATCATGAAAGCAGTCAGTGCCTGCTTTCTCGCCTATGAAGAAATTCAGAAAAGAAAAATACTCAGCATTCAAACCTGAATGCTCTGCTAAGACACCAGCCCCACCTGAGACCCACACCATATCATTCCTCACACCATTTCTGAGTCTCAGATTCTGCTAGAAAGGCCACGGACACCCAGGACAGTGCTTTTGCAGATGGCCCAGAGTTGCATGGCCCCACGTACCCGCTCATCATCTGTGGCTCGGGCGGGCATGTCCTTCTCATCATCAGGCAGTGGCAGGCGGGACAGGGAGAGCCCGTTGAGTGCAGCCAGCTTCAGGGGACCAATTTTCTTTGCATCTACTCGGGTCTTCTTCATTCCCTGTAACAATACGTATATGAATAGATGAAATCCACACAAATCCAACCCTATGAAGTGGGATGAGGACTGGGAACACAGGCTGTGCTCTCCCCTGCCAATAAACCCCAAGAGAGATGACACTCCTTCCCACATCATCTGTTTAACAAACATTAGGAGGAAGACATTCCTTTCAAGGTCAAAGCCCTGATAAGTCTTCCAGATACAGGTCTCAAAACGCAGTTGGCCACAAGGCTCTGTTGTAAGGAGGGGTGAGGCTCTGGACAGACAGCATTCTTGTGAGCACGGCCCAGGAAGTAGGCTGCCATCCACTAAAAAGACTTTTAGTTCTATCACTTGACTGGAATAGTCTTTAAAATAGATACATTCTTCAAATCTTTCTGAGAAAACCCAATGTTTTTCTTCTACACAGACTCCTGTGGCCTAGGTTAGGTCACTACGCCTCTTAGGACGGCCACAGCTGTGAACCAGGCAAACGAAACAGGGCTAAACTGCTCCACCATGACACCAGGTAGACAGGGCCTGAGAGAAAGCGGCTAGAACAGTTTCCTGAAACAGGTGTCTCCTGAAGTTATGATTAACGTAAATGATTTCCTCTCTACAGCAAACGAGAATAAGCATGGCACAGCCCCTTGCCGAGACCACCCCTCCTTGGAAGCCATCACAATTAGAACAAGATTAGTACCCCAAAATGCAATCAGTTTTATTCCAGCCTATAACAGCCCACGAAGCCCCAGGATCAAGATAATAGAGCAAAAACAGAGAAGAGGCATTTTGGCGAGGAGAAAAAGTACTGAAGGACCGTTACCGTAAGTGGAGACTCTAACCGGCACCTAACCGGAAAGCTTGATGGGATGGATATTAATGTTACAACTCATGTCTGATCATGGGCTGCCCACATAACACAGCCTGGGCTAGGAATGGGGAGAGTGCTGGGTTAGCGTCCAGAGGAAGGTCACCTTTCATGGCTAAGCCTTATTGAGACAGAAAGATAGAGACAGACATAGACACAGACTCCAAGGTTCCAGCTGAGGCTCACATTCCATGATTCTAAAGTGTGCAGAAAATAGTGCCATGCTGGTAACAATTAACAACTGGTTCCTATGGAAAGCAGCTCTGATCCACATCTGCCCATTTCCATGGTGTAAATACTCCCACCACAGCCAATTTCAGATTGCTAATGCCACATCCACTGGCCCACAAGATTCCCGAAAACTGAACAGTTGGCTCTTCTCACCAGCCAACGCAAGCTGGTTCCAGCACTTCTTGGCCTGAAAATGACTCAAGATGCCCCACGTTGAACGCTGGTAAAGCTGCCTGGTTGACGGTCAGTACAAAAGTTGGATTTGAAGAAAAAAGGTGTGTGGTCAAAACCAGCCTCGAGCCGGGCTCAGAGGCTCAGCCTGTAATCCCACGCCTTTGGGAGGCTGAGGTGAGTGGATTGCCTGAGCCCCCAGTTTCGAGACCCACCTGGGCAGCGAGACCTCATCTCTACAATAAATCAAAAAATCAGCTGGGCGTGGTAGCGCGTGCCTGTAATTCCGGCTGCTCGGAAGGCTGAGGCAGAAGGATCGCTGGAGCCCAGCAGGTCGAGGCTGCGGCGGCTGGGAGTGGCCACTGCATTCCAGTCTGGGCGACCGAGTGAGACTCCAACTCAAAAAAAAAAAAAAAAAAAAAAAACCAGTCTTGAATCCTGCCATTAGCCTGGCACATATGTGCATGGTTATGAATGTATGACCTGCACGTAAGTTCTCACGTGAGAACCACAAGACTAAAGGGTGCAACCAAGAAGGGATATGCAGCAGTTGTGTGAGCACCCAAACCTGCCTGTCTGCAAGATGGCACTCAGGCCCAGACCCGTCTGCCCGCAAGACAGTAATTAGCCCCGGCTGTGGAGGCAGGTGGAGTGTTCCAAAGCGTCCCTGCTTGTCCGCTATTGACTTCACTATTGTTAATACTAAACCTCTGTAACCTTCATTCACATTGGTACATCTGTCTGTTGTAACAATGAAACAAGATAATGGCAATCCATGTTACTAAGGAGGGTCAGAGAGTAGAAGAGGGAGGAGGGAGAGGCCTCTTCAACTCCCAGGAAGCCATGGAGTTAGATGTGTGACACCACCTTGCCACAGCAAGTTAATACTACTGAGCACTTGCATGGGCCAGGACCTCATTTCTCCCCCAGAGCTTTCTGGGACCCTCTCATTTACCCTATGAAAACCAAGTCACAGAGAGATTAAACAGCCTCCCAGGGTCACACAGCTGCCTTTTTAGAAGGTAATCAGTGTCAAAGCAATACAAGTGATCTTTCTCGAGTTCTGCCAAATCAGACATGCAATTCTTCATGCCTAACCTCGTATGGGACTGAATGCCGCAGGCAGGCAGAGCAGGGATGACAGTTCCGTGCCACAGATGTGGAAGCTGAGGTTCTGGTGCTGGAAGGGTCCCGCCCACTGAGCAGAGCTAACAACGGCAGGGGCCAGATGCAGGCTCAGGGTTCTGAGCTCCAGGGACCTGAACTCTTCCCCTCACTACGGCTGCCACCCACACGCTTTAGGTAGAATCCCTTACACGGTTAGAGGGGGAAAGAACATAAGCCAATCACATTAATGTTGTGGGTCTTAAAAAGTCAGTGAGAGAAAGTTTGTATTTTATGAGAACCAGGCCAGGCACAGTGGCTCACACTTGTAATCCCAGAACTTTGGAAGACCGAGGCAGGATTGCTTGAGCCCAGGAGTTTGAGACAGCCTAGGAGTGTGACCTTGTCTCTACAAAAAATAAAAAAAATTAGCTGGGCACGGCATTGTGCATCTGTAGCCCCAGCTACTCGGGAGGCTGAGGCGGGAGATTGCCTGAGCCCAGGACGTTGAGGCTGTGGTAAGCTGTGACTGTGGCACTGCACTCCAACCTGGGTGACAAGAGTGAGGTCCTGACTCAAAAAAACACAGATAGATAAAAACACTTGAATACTGAGCTATACTAAAAACAAATATGACTTGAGGAAAGCACTTGGGTCAAATAAAAGCAAAAGACAGTTCTTCATGCAGTGGAAAGAGTGTTACCTATAAACAGCCCTGGCCAGCTGGCTCTGGGACACAGGTAGTGTTACTTTGGAAAATCCACCCACACCTTGTCCCCACCCTGAATCACTGCCCATCAGCCAGCACCCTCAAGCTTGGCCCACCTGCAGCCCTAGCCTTTGCTATCCAGGTACGATTGTACCTCAGGAAAAATTACATATAACTTTCTTTTTTTCATTGGAATCTCACTCCGTCAACCAGGCTAGAGTGCAGTGGCACGCTCATGGCCACCCCAGCGTCAACCTGTTGGGCTCCAGCGATCCATCCACCTCAGCCTTCTAATAGCCGAAACTACAGGCATGTACTACCACACCCGGCTAATTTTTGATTTATTGTAGAGACGAAGTCTGGCCAAGTTGCCGGGGCTGGTCTCGAACCCACAGGGCTCAGGCAATCCACTCACCTCAACCTCCCAAAGTGCCGGGACTACAGGCTGAGCCACTGAGCCCAGCCAAAAATAACTTTCAAATTCAAACCCAAACTGATGATAAGCCTACAGCGCCCATGTCAGTCGTTTGCATCCGTAGATGTTCATGTCTCCCAGAAGCACTGGAACACTGTGGGAGCTCTTCCTGCTTCTCAAGACACTCCTAGTGGCTCAGAAGCTCCCAGACACGAGGCCAGACCCACCCTGAGACAGGTCTCAGGTCTGCAGGTGCCACCCAGCCAAGGAGACCGAGAGGGCCAGGTTCCAGGCCACTGGGAGACAGACGGGTGTCCTCAGCACACGGGCTTGGCTCCCACACTTGGGAAGGGAGTGAAGACAGGGAAGCAGAGGTCAGAGAATGGAGGCGTAGGCCAGGCAGAGCTGGGGGCCCACACCAGGCAACAAGATGCCCTCGTGGACACACTTTGCAACAAAGCCACAGTCAGAAAAGCGAGGCTTCAAGCAGTGATAACTTATTAAAATATGGTCCCATCTACCTTGATGCAGAACAGGGTGGAAGACGAGAGAACAGATGCAGAGATAAACAGGGGTTAAGATTCCAGGTCAGTCACTCAGAGCTGGGCAACTTGGGAGAGTTCCTTAGCTTATCTAAGCCTGTTGCTTCATCTGTAAAACGGGCATAACAGGCTGCTTGTAACCCGGACACCACAGGGCAAATGTTATGCTCAGCTTGTGATGGCCGGGAACGGTGGCGAGGTGCCATGACTCTGCACTTTCATGTTTTCCTTCAGCAGGTACAAAGTGCTTCATCCATATTTACGGATCACACTGAATGTGAGAGTTGCATTTTCTGCAAGGGCCTCCCTCAGATTGTCAGCACATGTACGCTTTCTTTTGAAGAGACATGGAGTCCCAGGGTTTCGTCTTGACCAAGGGCCACCTTTCCAACTCCAAAAGTCCTCAGAGATCATGGCTAAGACACTCAAGCTGCACCACAGACTCCGACCTTGAGAATAAGATGCAGAATGAGAACACATGCCTGGATGCGGCTCTCGGGCATCTCTTGAGCAAACTGCACAAATGCAGCCCTGAGGTGCTGCAGCTTCCATGGCATCCGATGGGTAGTTTGCGAGGCCATCCTGGCTACAGTAAGAGACTGCATCCTCCTCCCCCTCTTTACACAACAAAGTTACCAAAACATCTCGCTCACTCTTCCATGCCACACGAGAGCCTCAGACAGTCACCTTTTCACTTCATCTCATTCATGGTCTTTTAAATTTTATTTTTGAGTCGGGGTCTCACTCTGTTACTCTGTTGTGCAGGCTGGAGTACAGAGGCACAATCACTGCTCATGGCAGCCTCAACCTTCTGGGCTTAGACAATCCTTTCACCTCAGCCTCCTGAGTAGCTGGGACTACAGACACATGTCACCATGCCCAGCTAATTTTTTTACTTTTTGTACAGATGAGGTCTCACTATGCCTCCCAGGCTGGCTTCGCCCTCCTAGGCTCAAAGGACCCTCCCCATTTAGCCTCCTGAATAGTCAGGACCACAGGCACGTGCTAACACCCCTGGCTAACTTAATTTTTTAGAGATGGGGGGTCTCACTATATACCCCAGGCTGGTCCAAACTCCTAGGCTCAAGCAATTCTCCTGCCTCAGCCTTCCTAAGCGCCGGGATGACAGGCGTGAGACACTGCACCCAAATTCATCTCATGTATTATCTAGGAAAAAACCACGAACATTTGAATCCTCCCCCATCATTTCTATAAATTCACCCGTGCTCCACGTGAGACAAAAATAGGGTAATGGGCTGGGGGGTGAAAAACTTTAAAAGAACAAGATAAGCTGAAAAAAGTCAGAAGTCACGAGTCAACAACAAGGCCACAGACAGAGCGGGAGCAGCGTCCGTTGGCTGGAGGCCCCGCGCCGAGAGGCAGCTTACCCCTAGGGGTGGGAGGCCTTCCACCACGTCCTTCCTTCCAGAGAGGAGGTCTGACACCGGCCTCCTGTGCAGGGAGTCCCTCCGGGCACGGTACCGCCCTGACGTGGTGAGGTCGGACTCAGACACCGACGGCGTCAGCAGCCCGTCTCTCCGGGCCCAGGGGGCCTCGGTATCGGGGCTTCGGGGCTCGAGGATGTGCAGGGGCCCCAGAGCGGGGCACGGGTGGCCGGACGCACTCGCTCGTGTGGGAGGTGCGGCCACAGGCTCCTCGCCGGCACCGCCCTCGCCCTCGTCCTCGCTGCTGTGGACCAGCATGGTGGCGTCGGACGGGGACTTGGCGTGCGCGTGGGCCGGGCCACCCCGCCCGGCCGCCCCGTCCCCGAGCCGCAGTGCGTCCAGGCACGGGGCCGGCGCCGCCGCCTCGACGCTGCCCCTGCGCGGGGGAGCGCGGCGGGCCGAGAGCGGCGCGCTGACCTCCTGCAGCGAGTGCGCCACCGGCAGGCTGTCCTCCTGGAACGTCTGCACCGCGTGGTGCACGCGCCGCGTGACCAGGTCCGGGTGGCTGCGGCTGGCGCGCAGGC